TTTATTAGTAAACACCAATCTAGATAACAAATAAAAATCTTAATATAATTTTGAATTTTAAATTATTAGATATTAAAATGTTTAGTAATGATATTTTGATTTGTAAGTTGTAACATTACAAAATTTTGACAATCAAAATTACACCAACACAAAACACGGTGATATGTTTATTTTATTATCATTGTTTTAATAATTTAGACAATCAATTTAAAATTGAATCAATTTCATATAAAATTGACAAAATTAGAAAATTTGATCAAATTAAAAATTTTAAAATTAAATTGACACGAATAATTTGTTTGGATGAGATAAAAAAATGATAACAATGATGAAGTTTTGTAGCATTCTGTAACCTTGACTGCAACAAAAAAGGCAATCAATAAAACATATATCAAAAAAATCCTATAGACTATTGTTTTGCAAATCCATATCAGATCACGAAACTAGAAATGTCTATACAATTTCTAAAGGATCATTCACTCAAATTTTGTTTCGAGAACTATTGATATTTCTTCATTGCATTTTATGAGAGGGGAGAGGGGGGAACTAAAATTTTTTTCCCGCAAAAATACTTTTGGGAACACAGGCCTCAAGCCCAAGTGGTCACCCTTTGGTTTCCCAAGTTACAAGGGGGATTCAAACCCCACCAAGTCAGGTTCTTTAGAAATACATACCTACATCTGGCTATAAATTTGTGCGTAGAAAATAATATCGTCGTGTGGTTCTTTCAATAAATAAAAAAAGACAGAAAACCAGGTAATAACTTCTATAATCTATCACAACTTACAAATGGAGAAGTCAAAGTTAGGAGGGATTTAGTCTGTTTGGATTATGGATTTAGGTTGGGATTTGGAAAGAGAAAGAAAATGGCAAAAATCTAACTTATATTACATTCACATTTCCTTACCAAATCCCTATCCAATTCATGATCCAACCACAGCTTTAAGGATATGCGTTTAATTTCGAGAATGATACTCACATTTTCTGCTAGCTTCTCCACAACTGCTTGCAGGTAATTCCTGAACTTTGTTCTAAGCATCACAGTTACTTCACTGAGGCGCTCTCCAGGGGTTGTGCTTCCCCGATCAGGGATGCAAGAACCCCATGACTTCAACTGATGTTCTATCTTGGACCGCAATATGTCAAGCATCCTCTTCATGGAATTCAAAAGAATTCCAAGCTAAATGCAAAACCATATTTCAGCCGAACCCCAAAAGAATAACAATACTAAAAGGGAAAAAAATGAGAACTTGACAAGTAAAGCTCACCTCATCTGGGACCACATAAGGGCACACAGATCGTTTTGTGAGCTTCTGTACATATTTGAGACCAAATTTCTTGGGTGTCAAATTTTCCTTCAATGGCAACAAGACATCCGCATACTGCTTGTCCAGGTCCTCCACAATGGAAAGAACAATGATCATCCAATTGCAGCAGCTAAACTAGCAGCAATCCAGAACTAGACCCAAGACTGAGGGCTTGCAAACTCCTATTCAGTCATCCTAATAAACAAAGACAGTTGTAGCAGTTGCATACAATACCAGCAGCTGCCAATGACAGCAGCAACCAGTGATAGCACCGCTACCACTGCCACCAGCACCTTTCACTACAACAAATATTCCTTAATAACCATGGATTGCTATAGCACATCAGGAAGACGTGCCATTATAAAATCTAATCACTAATTTAAATTTAATCTAAATGGCAAGAGTCAAAAAGGCCATCTAAGATAGTGTTTGGTTCACTAGATGAAATAGAATGAAATGATCATTACATCAAAATATTTATTCTCATATTTGGTTGACTAACAAAAACAATGAAAAATACATTGTAAATAGAACATCATATACCAATGTAATGGAATGATCATTCTGTAAGGAAGATTATGGAATAATCATTATATTATATTCTATCTCATTCCAATGAACCAAATAGAGCATAAATAGAAAGCATATTGAAATGGTAGCTTAAGGTGCTTGCATGTAAGCAAAAAATAAAATAAAAAAATTGAGTAAGTAATGCCAATTTACTTCGGACCAATTTATTAAAACCTGATCATGGCTAAGATACTGGCTTAGTCCTTGCCCCTACTTTTGCATCACTTTCTCAAAATCAAAACAAAGTCGAACAAAAAAAAACCCAATTCCCTACCATGAACAAGCAAGGATATGTTTTGGTTAAGCATATTATCAAACATGTAATGAGAAATCTACATCCAATAAAAAGAACATAGAAATCAAAATTTAGGATAGTAAGCATCAATTTGAGTAGAACCAACAAATGTTTCTTCTGTTTATTCAAGGGTTCATATAAAACAAATGTGATTTATGAACAAAGTCAGAGTGTTTCTTCTGTTTATAGGTTTTCAATTCTCTAAGCACTAATATGACTTATGAGTTGCATTCATCATAAGCAAACAAATGTGTCACTTTTATCAATGAAGTTAACAAGAATGATAAGATGTTCTGTAGTAATTATTTTTTCCTTTGTGATCTTGTAGTTCACAAATTCTTTAGTCTTAGTAAAATGACTAATTAAGCTAATGTATATTTCCATAATTAACTACCTCATTAATAGAGTATATATATATATATATGAAATTTTTTTAAACACATGCTTTAAAAAAATAGGGTATCCCTTTTTGTAACTTTACCATAATGATTTTTAATATAATCATAAAAAATCGTGAATTTACTCACTTAAAAAATTTGTAACTTTTTAGTACTCATAACATAATTGGTTCACAATATCACTACAATAATTTTTAACTAGTATTGCTTTGTATACACCACAAAAATTCATAACTACATCACAAAAATTCGTAAAAACATCAAAAAAAAACTGGTTACTTTTTTTGACATGGAGGTGTGTATAGTAGTTGGACCATATATATATATATATATATATAACTAGATCATTCATGGTATTTTTTGTTTGGTTTCAATCTAAAACAAAAAAACATAGGAGCACCAAACAGTGAGGGTCAATTTCAATGAATAAAATGTTGTAAAAGCATATAACAGTTTTGTTGGGAACATATAGGAGCAATAAACAATTAAAAAATACTTCAATAACAAATAACAAAAAAAAAATCCAAAAATTAAATATTGATCAAGAACAAAAATTATAGTATAAGCACACTCGATCTTATTTTTCAATTCTATATCCAATCAAAGAAAAGGGTTTTGTGGAACCCAACCAGGTCTTCTTCATGTATACATACATGTGCAAATTCAATACATCCCATAAAGAATATCCAAAAATCAACATCCACACATCAATTCGCACTTAGAAAATCAAAGGAAAAAAAAAATACTCATAATCTGATTCTGGAATTGTTTCTTCTCTCTATTTCACTTGACATTGGTTGATGATTTTTAGAGACTTCCTATCAAAACAAAACTAATAAGTATATAGATGTATATATCTGTATATAAATCGAGTGAGATAGATAGAGAGAGAATTACCTTCAATTTGTATCAAAACCCTAGCACTGTGATTGCTCAGTCCATAATGAGAGAAATTAGGAACCTGACTTGTAGTGGGTTTCTATCTTTAATCTTGTGCCAAACTTTTAAGGTTTTCCAATATAATGTCTTTTTTTTTTAATGGGTTCAATAACGTTTTTTTTTTTTTTTTTTTTGCATATATTATCTCAACAATAACATTTTTTAATTGCCATTAATCCTTAATTTGTGTAATTTTTCACAGCATTTATAAAAGGTTATTAGAAATTAGAATTCAATGCTATAAATATCAAATGTTAGTGCCTCAACTCATTTAATCACAAAATGCTATAAATGCTCCATAATTAATAACATTTTAATAAAAATGCTATAAAATTATGTTATTAAAAGTATTATATGTTGTAGTGTTAGAAAGAAGTGCCAAACATAGACTGCTTTGCCAGATACAGAGTCGCCACCTAAATATTTTATTTTGGGGGAATTTAGGAAACCCTGACTCATGCCTAAGGCCATGTGTCCGTCATCAGCAAAGTTGCTTCGGCTCAGGAACTTGGGTACGATTGGGGAAGGTCACTTCGCGAGCACCCCCGCTCGCCCGATCAAGGATCGGCCTCTATTAACCATGATATCTAGTTTTGAAAACATTATGCGTTCGTATTATGGTTGTTAGCCTAGCATTATTATGTGATGCGCATAGCATACAAGTATAGACTGGATTGCCTAAGTTGGAACAAAGCATCGCATATCCGTTTGTTTTGAAAATGGATTGAAGTTTGCTACTCGCAAGTAGGTTAAAACACGGGTTTTGACGAATTATTCCAATTCAAGCAACCCAACCTTCACCCACAGGCATTCAGGCAGTTATATCACATAAGCACATAGCCTCATGGTAAGCATGCTATCATGGCAACACTCACACTCATGTAAGATGCTAAAGCATAAAAACTTACCTAGTACTCCGAGCCAAAACAAGAAACTAGTTAGGAATCATGCACGATCCTAGTTCATGTTAGGATGGCTAATGCAACAAATGAAAAAATGAAACTAAAATAGGCTCGGCTATTCTAAGAATGGTATGTGAAATGCGGCAACTCAATACACGTATTCAAGTTGGAATTAAAATACAATGCAGTTAGCATGATGTGCCGAGCCCGGTGCATGCAAAACAGATAAATGATGCAAACATGCGAGCATAAGTATGCTAATTGAAACATGCCCTAAACTAACCATCAAAAGCTAGTAAATAAAAGGGAGAAAGACGTGGGGTTGGAAAACATTCACACACGCACACACACTTATTACAAGTTCGCCCTCTCGACGGAGGGTCCGTAAGAATAATACAAACCCAATAGATAACTAACTACTCTATCTAATTAATTATTACAGTCCCTTAATTAATTAACGAATTAATCAAAAAATAAACTAAGTATGGAATTCAAAAGGCCGCTGCAGCTCTGCCTCGGAATGATTGGATGATGCATGCTCGATTTGCCTTGCTCGGAAACTCGTTGCCATGCCTCTGTTGCCTCAGTTTGCACTGTTCTGCACCTCTGATAATTGTGAAAATCCTAAGGTTGCTTCTGAACCACTCCCTGAACACTTTGGGATGCCACCGGCCGAGAGAAAACACCACCGGCCATCGAAATATGGTCATCGACCAAAAATGGGACCACTAGCTGGGTATTGATAGCTGGCCGGCACTGAAAGTTGCCGATCGGCCATTTCTTCCTGCAGAATACTAGTTTTGCTGCAATAGAGAACAGACAATGCATGGCATGGAATTTGCAAGCCAAATGTATGCACGACCACCCTCCCTATCATGCTATGAACTCAAGAGAGTATAGCTCTCGACCCTCGGGCCACCAATCACGCATTTCAACACATGATGGCCAAATGAGCCAAGTGTCCATATCAATGTAAAATGGATGCACAAAACAAATGGATGCCACACACTCTATCATGTTGGATCAAGAGTGACGGCGATCGAAGATTAAGGCACGTTTCGTCACTTTAAGTACGAACGTCCCTCATTCCTCACGTTTGGTTTGACACCCCAAACCAAACACCATGTAATGCATGTATGCTAAATACAATACGATATGTAAATGCAATACAAGGTAATGCAATGTAAGCATGCCAAATGCAATGTGATGCATCCTAAGCATGCCAAATGCAGTGAGACTCGAGTATGCACACAAGACTAAGGTAGCAAGCATGCCAGATGCAATGCAACCTAAGCATGCAAGTTAAACTAATGTAGCATGGGCGCACCAAGTATACGACAATGTTGTGTATTGCAATTAGCTAAATATCATGTGATATACTAAACATGCAAACATGATATAATGCAAGTATGCAAATAATGTAACGCAACATGAGTGTACCTACTCAATGCAACTTGCACAAGCATGTAACAATGTGTAAACTAGCAAGCATGTAACAAGGTGCAACATGTCAAAGATGCAACTATATATAAGGATGGGCTTAAACCGGAATGGGAGACCTTAGCCATGCCCTAAAACAGTGGCCAAAAACACCCAAATCAAGGTACCAAAAAAAAAGATATGCATGCACATTCATGAATCCATAAGCTAGGCAATGATGCACAATCCTCAACCACGAGCAAAATGGGATAAACATGAGAACATGACAATGCAATGAGCTCTGAAATTAAGTGAAGAATGATGCCAAATCACATGCACAAGTGAAGTATAGCATGCTAATGGACCCGATGCTCAAAGCTAGTCAAGGGACTTGAACCATGACTATGTCAACCAAGCCCCAAAGGGGCAAGGTGACCCAAAACAGTCCCGAGGCGGGCCTGAACAAGACCAAAAGTGAGCTCGAAACTAGCCTATACAAGCTAGATTAAAGGGGCAAAATCATGCGGCATGCAAGGCCACCGAAGAGGTGTTACACTACACCTAATAGCATAGAACATGGACTGAAATAGCATGATAAGTGATCCCAAATCACTGAAATAGCCCAAATGAAGCATGTTCATGACTCACACACCCAAACCTAGCAAGCTAAAATGCAAAGTGGCTATAGAAAGCATGGCAAGCATGACCCAAAAGACCAAAAATAGAACTTAAGCATGTCACAACATAGCTAAAAGCTTCATGAAGTCAAGCTAAAACATGCATGCATGATGGTCTAAATGCATGATACATATTATGACAATAGAGGGGATTACAAAGCAAGTGCATGATGCATGCAATAGGCCATCGAACCA